GACTTTTGTTGTGATTTGGCGCTATATAAATAAAATTGAATTGAATTGAATTGAATTCTTTAGGAATGCCAGTCACTAACCTGTAAAGGATAGCTAGGAATGCTAGCGGGCTACACCTGCCACGCTGGAGATGATAAGGACAAGACGATGACAGTGTTAGCTCAGAAATGCTACTGATTTGGCTCAAAATACTAGTCGGCAGTTCCAGGAAGTGTAGAGGTTGGTAAAAGTGAGTGGCTTGTGAGGAGAAAGGTCACGCTGGCCTGCTGGCCTACCGCTCTTTGGTTTTCACACAGATTCAGTTCCTCCTTGCGTACGGGAAATATCTGCAGTGTGCTGCATTTTCTCCAACAGCCTTTGGCTTCGAATTATATTCACTTCCTCTTGGATTGTGAATCATTCAAATAAAAAACAAATGTGCTACTTATGTGTTATTATATTGTCTATTATGAGATTTCAAAGAGCTTGTAGAGTGAGGATATACGTTGGTGCCCAGTTCCTACCACGAGGACAAGAAACACACACCTCACACACTCAGCGTCATCAAACTCGATGTTATATTATTGATAAAATAAATACAATCTGATGGTTTGGCAACATTTTTCTCTTTTTCTTAAACTTTCATCTCAATAAAGCTCAGCTGAACACGCGGCCTCTCCTCAGGCTCGCCGTAGCCTTACTTCTGGTTTCCAGTACACTGGTCTGGCATGTTTACCCAGTATTGAAGGCAATGCCCCAAAAACGTTTTTCCCCCCTTTTTAAACATCCTGCCCTCCTGACCGCGAGCTACAGCTGTGGCCTCCAGAGCAATTAAATCCCACCTCACCGCATCTTTAAATACAGGCTGTCGTCTGAAGTTATCGAGTCACCGATTACAGATTTACAGCAGCACACGCTCACCTGTGAATAAACTTCTTGACCACCTCCATTCCACCGTTGAGCTCATTAAGAGCCAGGATGTACTCCTGAGTGAAGAGACGCAGACGAGGGCACTTCCCGAAATCCTGGCAGCAACAGCCAAAAGCAGAGTTGGGAATGTATCATCCGAAATAGAAAATTGAATGATGAATAAAGGATATGCAGAAATAAAATCTTTTCTTATTCTCATTAGCTTCTGCATACAGATTACAGCTCTCGTGCTCTTTCTACTTAATCACCATTTCTATCTATTACTTAAGTTGCTGCTCATGAACCTGAACTAAGGGCTTGTACAGGACTTTATGGACACTTGTGGGAACTTTACATGGCAATTTATTCATTCGTGTGTTTTAAATTCTCACAGAACTGAAGACAGCAGATGGATTTAAACTCTCTCATTGAGCAAAATGTGCGTGGTCATCCACTGAGATCAGCTTTTTCCAGTGGAAGCAGTGAAAACCACAGAGAACAAAGTACTTTAACCTTTTAACATTTACAAAGTCTGAAGTATATTTCTGCCTGCATGGAAATGCTTCTGCAGAAACCCTTAATTTGAAAGCTAACGGTCTCTGAGGGATTTCTCAATATTTACCAATTTAGCGTGACGTCAAAACACAGCAACCCTAAACTTAGATGGGTCACAGATGATCTGGTGGGTGATACGACGTTAAATTACAACACAGCACCAAACAGCTAACAGAAAGCTCCCAGGGTTAAGACGCCACAGGAATGTGGCGTTTGCAGCCAAAAACACAAAACTGCCTCCAATAAACAGTCATCAAAAGGAGAGGTGGGCTACGTGGAACCAGTGACGATTTTTACAGCAGATCTATTGTTGCTGGGAATTACTGGTCTTGCAAAATCTTCTGCTTCCTAAAAAATTACTTTAAGAAGTCTAAGATAAAAATGGAGCCGTGCAGAAAAGCTCGGCCGATCTCACCATGTTGTGTTTGAGGATTCTCTGAACCACAGGAGTGAACACTTCGATCACAACGCTCGACCGCGGCCGCTCCCGACAGTGCTGCGACACACAAGATCGACGGGCGTCAAAAAGGAAGCGCTTTGAATCATTTGCAACATTTACGACAGAAGAAACGCGTTCAGAGCTCACCTTACAGAAGAACTCGCACAGATCAGGTGGAGGGTGGTTGTTTTCCAGAAGAGGAGCGATGGCCTGCACAAACACACACGTACACACACAAACGCACACATACAGGTGACTGTTTCCATATCATATCTCTTATTTACACAGGCCCAGAGCAGGCAGAATGTACCTGATGCTGTCAGGTGAAGGAGCTGTGTGAAAACAGGCCACAGGTGAGCTACACAAACATTGCAATTTCCCTAAGCGTCAAGCTCCCCCTGCTCTGCCCAGTTACCACCGCGTGGGTATCGACTGCCACGGTCGAAAACACACAAATAAAAAAAATGTAGCATAAAGAGAGACGCGGGGACGATCTATATTCTTCAGTTTAACGAGCAAAGCAACTGAAGCTTGTTAATGATTAATAAACTTGTTAAATATCAGTTTAGTGCACGGTGACAGCAAACTTACCACGATGATGTTTTCATGATCCTGAGGACTGAGGTTTGAGTTCTGCAAAGGAAAAAATCAAAAATAAGGAACTAATTACGAGTACGGAGTTAACGAAACGATGGAAACGCTCCGCCTTAAAGGAAACGACATCATCACATGTCACGCAACACGAGTAAGTGTGCTACCTCAGCCAGCAGGGTGGAGATGATGTGCAGCGGAGCTTGGTGGATGGATTCATCCTGCAGCGGTGAGGTCAGAGCCATGTCCACCAGCGCTCTGATCTCCTTCAGCGCCACATCCCAGCGACTCGGGTTGTTTAGGACCTTGCGATACTTGTAGATCTTTTTCTGCAGGAGAAACGACGCGATGAACAGCTGAGCACTGGCCCAAAGGCCGCGGGACTGCACATAACACATCAGGGTGCTGCGTTTGTGTCTGTTTGCACAGGTATTTGCCTTTGGAGGGCCCGGGAAAACTGCTTGTGTACAATGCTCCAACAAAGAAAAAACAGCCACATAGCCACATTAATGTTCAGTTTCACTTCAGCTTTTTCTACATTTGAACTTCGCTCTTCTGCAACTTATTGACCCACTACAGCACAAGCAACACCAACCCACAGATTAGGGATGCACCGATACCGATA